ACACATCATTTGTTTATTTATTTATTTGTATAAATATAATATTAACAATTTTGAAAAACGAGCACAAGTTCGGGCATATTTGAGCTGGAACCTATAAAAGGTAATGAGCAAAATATTTACCGAATCTGAGTCAATCTCGAGTCGAACTCAAGCCAAAATTAATAGACTCGTTCGAGCATGCCCAAGTTTAAGCAAGGTTCAACGTGTTTTCACTCCTAGGTAGAACCGAATGAGGATTATCTTACTCCTTTTCATTTCATCTTCACTCACTTCAATGCGTGGGGGACTGGAGTGTGAAGGACTTGCTCACATTGAAAACACAAAGGATGAGCTCACAAAAGCAAAGGCTGAAGCTCATCAAATGCTTATAAAGATAAGGCTTAAAGACAAGGCTAAGCGTACTAGACATGTTAAGCAAAAGTTGAGACTTACACTCCTTGCTTTATTTGGGGGGGGGGGGGGGGGGCATATGTTGTTCTCATTTTTCCTCTTTATGACTTTTCCCAATGAATTTTTTCCTGATGAGGTTTTTCACTAGCAATCTTCCCATCATGCATAAGGGAATGATCTTCCGGCCAATGAGGAATCCATCATGACTACTCTCTTTATCTCAAACTGTCTCACCTCAGGGTGTGAAGACTCTCCATAGAGTATATTATCTCAAACTTAGGAGCTCTGATATGTATATAATATTGAGTTTAACCTGTTAATTATTTAAATTTTGACATGACATTGTGCTGGCCCATGGTTTGTTCTATACATAGATAGTAAATGCTTTGTAAACTTTGACAATCATACACAAACTCTAGTAGTACACTAACAATCAATCTAACTCTCAACATCTCTAAAATATATCTCCCATTCTACTCTCTGTCAAATCATTAATGTTACATAATTTGATATATCTTTTTCAAGATTATTTATGGAAAATGTTGTGACAATGTGACCACGTTTGTTTGATACACTTAGGGGTCATTTGGTAACACTGAATTTGGCAGAATCGTCTGAATTTGTTGGAATTGATGAAATACCGGATGAAGCGAACATATTTATTGAAATTTATGAAATACTAGCTGAATTGACTGAATCTGTTGGGTTATGAAAAAATATTTAGATATATTTTATTAGTATATTAAAGAAAATTATATGAAAAAATAATTTAAATGGTTGTGTACAGTAACTTCAATCAATTCATAAAAAGTAATTGCAATTTTACTTATTTTGATTAGAGGAAAATGTCAAATAAGTCCACATACTATTGTGAAAAAGTCAATTGAGTCCATGTAGTTTTTACTCAAATTTTAACTCTTAAATTTTAACCAATCTTTCCATTTAACCGGCTGCCAACCGGTTACCCTCCCATATTGATGAAGTGGAGGCCACCTAGACATTTTTTACTCGTTTTCATTTTTTTTCCCTTTCTTTTCTCTTTATTATTTCCCCCTTTCTCTGGTTCGTGACAGCCCCTGCTTCCCCCTTTTTCTTGTCTTTTTCTGTCTACTCCATCTTTCCTGTCTCTCCCTGCGGCATGTACAGACCTCCCTTCTTCCATTTTTCTTTTCCCTCCCCCTCCCCTCTCTCCCTGCAACACTTCCCCTTCCTTTTCCTTTTTGTCTTTTTCATCCTCCTCCCTTCACCCTCTCTCACCAGTCACCATGCGGCACTTCCCTTTCTTTTCTCCCCCTCCCTTTTCCCTTCTCTTTCTTGTTAATTCGCTGGTTCCTTCCCTTCCATTCTTGTCCGATGGAACCTGGATTGCGTCCTACGAAATCGAAGAGATCTTCCATCTGCGAAACCGACGGAAGACAGCGGCGGCACGGGAAAGGAAAACAGGGGAAGAGAAATAGATCGGGAAAGAAAAGGTAACAAAATGGAAAAGAAAGAAAGAAGCCAGTGCTAAGTCCATGGAAGAGGGAAGAGAACGAAAGTAAGAAACTAGGAAGAGAAAAAAACGGGAAAAGAAATGGAAAGGAAAGAAGAAAGAAGCCATTGTAGGTCAAGTACAGGGAAGAGGGACGGGATAATAAAGAAATTAAAAAAGAAGAAGAGAAAAAAGGCCACATGTACACCTCCACATCAGCAACTACCGGTTTTTCTCGTCCACCACCGGCTAAAAAGCCTAATTGACTAAATTTAAACAGTTAGTGAACTTAATTGATTCATTTTATTGTACGTGAACTCAATTGACTTTTTCGAAATAGTATGTGGACTTATTTGACAGTTTTCCCTTTTGATTATTACAGTATTTAGCATGAAATCAATACTTATGTATTTAATAAAAAGTTGAGTGATAAAAGCGATAAACTAGAAATATGAATTATCAAATGAGTTCTTAATAGAGAAGACCTACGGTCGAGTTTTGCCGTTCTGACTCGCATTAAGCATCGTCCGATTATCCTCTTCGCAACTCGAAGTCCAGAAAGCATAACAGAATCAGCTCATTCTCTTCGTCAGTGGGTCACGCACTCACAGCTCACGTCGGTCGAACGTCGGCGCACAATGCCTCTATTTGCTAGCCACCAGGTTTCTGCTCGAGTGCTCTGCGCCTATGCAAGGTTTTCTAGGGTTTGGTTTTCCGGTGGGGTTCAATGCCTGTGGTTGGTAATTTTTTCGACCTTGGTGATTATAATGGATAAGTTGACTATGAAGGAAGAAGAGAAGTGTTTGGTGATCAAAGATGCGATCAATGGTGCAGGGGACAAAAATCTCTTTATCAAAAAAGAAATTTGGAAGGGAGGGTTAATCTTCACCCATACTATAATAGCTCGTCCTCCTCCGGAACCACTTCTGTGCCATGAAGTAATTTGGGGTCTATTGAGATTTCTAAAGAAGCTTTATGGTAAGGAAGGACAACATGAGCCCCTCATGGTTCTGGGGTTGCAACTCAAGTTTAATAATGTTGTTTTTATTGTTGCCTTTTGCTTTAATGAGACTATGTTTGTTCTCTCGCTTTTTTTTTTTTGTTTTGTCAAACTCCTGCATTACCAGATTAACGAGTCATATTGATTTCTGAAGGGTGATTGACTCTGAGTCCGGTTTGAGAACTGGCAGTTGCGAGTAATTCTTTTATATGTTTGTTCCCTATCCGAATGTTGTGATATCAATATAAGCCACCATTTCGAAAAAAAAGAAGCTCTTGATATAATTCTTTTCCTAGATAAACACCAGGATAATGACTAAAAGCATATTTAAACTTTTAATTACTTGATGATACTGATTTTTCTTTCGCGGGGGGAGGGGGGGGGGGTTACCCAAATAAAGAGTAATTAAATTATTAATGGCCAAAACAGGACTAAAGTTTAAAAATTTCCCAAATAGGGAGTTATTATATGTAGTTAGACAAAAATACTCTTGAACCTTGACAAAACATACTCTCGCTGATAGACCGCTAGACCGACCGCTGCCGGCCACCGCAAGTCGCTGTCGCATAATCAGAGCTAGTCGTGTAGTACCCTGTCCCGCAGGACCCGAGGTAGTTACTCCAGACCTCTAGTACTGTCCTCACAAACTATCACGAGTCTTTATCGCGCACTTTGTCCTCACTTGTGAGTGCCCTGAGAAACTTACCAGGGGGTCACCCATCCCAAGTTTACTCTCGTGCTAGCAAGCTTAACTTTGGAGTTCTTAGTAGATGGACTCCCTTAAGAGGAGATGCATCTTTATTGGTATGCGTAGTACTATTAATCTGTTTAAATTAAATCTCAAGTATATTACAAGCCGCCTCTGCAAATATGGCCGCTGTCGCTGCATATCCGGCCGCTGTAGATCTAAACAGATTTGGTCGCCACCGGCCATCAACTGCTGCCCTTACAAATATGGTAGCCACCGCCACATATCCGACCACTGGTATTGCAGTTTCGACCGCCATCGCCAATGTCATCAGTTTTTTTAGCAAAATGCCAACATGAATCGAGAATGCCATATTAATGGCATTTTCAAAGGAAAATAGAAAGTTTTTGAAGAACAAAAATGTCATTTTGATGGCATTTGCAGAGAAAAATTGGCAATTTTAACAACCAAAGAAGAAGATGGACAACCAAACAGAATACTAGAAAGAGACAAACACAGAAGATGAGGAGGAAGGAGGGAGAAGAACGAGTTACTTTACTCCGCCTATGCACGCCCCAGCTCGCCGATGCTCACCGCCGTTGCTTGCCGCACCAGAAGGGCTCGTTGTTGCAGGTTGCCAATCGAAGAAGATGAGAAGAGAATAAAACCTAATCTACCAGGGAAGAAGACAAGTTGAATGGATTATGTGTGGAGAAGGGGGGAAGGTCTGAGCGGAAGATAAGGTTACACGTAAGATGGTAATTTTGGAATAGTGGTCCCATTTAGCGAGTACTAGTACTCCCTCCATCGCTTAAATCTTTGTTAACTTTCCTTTTTTGATTGTCCCATTAATTTTGCCACTTTCTTTCCCTTTTAAGCAAATAATTTGTGATTGCAGTTAATTATCTTTTTTCTGCACAAATCTCAATCACACATTTCTGACTTTATTAATCCACATGTCAGTCATGACAAAATCTTAGAGGAGGGGTAGTACTACCTCCGTAACTTAAAAACCTTCCCATTTCAACAGTAGGTAGATTAAGAATAGTGAAAGAGGATATGAATTATTGAGGGTATGATGAGAATATAGTGGAATAATGTGATGGAATGTAGGATAAATCCAAAAAAAGTAGTTGTAATAATGTATTATTTTCAGAATTATTGAGAGTATGATGGAAAGATTTAGAAATGAGAAGATTTTTTTGTTACGGACGAAAAAGGAAAGTGAGAAGATTTTTATGTTAGGCAAGGGAGTATAATTTAATTGCTCCCATTTGAGAATTTGACTTACTCCATATAATTTAGTCCTATGGAAGGCAATTGGTTCAAAAAAAAAAACTTCTTTCCCCCCCCCCGACAATGTGGGACATGAACTCCATTCGTGACTCTTGACTCCTGACCACGTAGCATAAGGATACTGCAACGCGTTTAGAGACGCCAAAACCTCTTCCCTTTCCTTCCTTCGTTCCCATCGCGAAGGTTCCACCCCCTCTTCCCTTCTCTGCTTCCTCCCCATATATATACCATCCACCCCTATCTTTTCTATCTTATTTAGATAGATCTTAAAACCCTATCCCCAATTTCATAAACATTCTTCAATCCGATATGGATTTTCGTACTCTGGAATTAAAAATCATGTCCGCCAAAGATCTCAAGAAGGTCACTTTCTTCTCCAGGATGAATGTTTACGTCGTCGTTTCCGTCTCCGGCGGAGACGCCAAATCGAATCAGACGCTCAGGACCCCGGCCGATCGCGAAGGTGGATCTAACCCTGCCTGGAATTTCCCCCTCAAATTCACCATCGACGATGCCGCCGCGCGCCAGAACCGCCTGACGCTCGTCTTCAGGATCCGCTGCGAGCGAGCTTTAGGGGATAAGGATGTCGGCGAGATCGCCGTTCCGATTAAGGAACTTCTCGACTCTCCGGCAGGGAATACGAAGCAATTCGTCAGTTATCAGGTCAGGAGGCCGTCCGGGAAGCAGAGAGGTCAAATCACGTTCTCTTATCAGTTCAGCGAGAAAATCAGCGGCGTACACGCGGCGGCGGCTGGTAATAATAAGGTGGATGAACCCGTAACGGCTTATCCGGCTTTTACGCCAGCGGTGGGGCCAAGCTCGGCGTATTCTGCGGCTCCCGCAGCGCCACCGCCTAATTGGCAGCCGGCTCCTGGAGCCTATCAGCAGGCACCTGGTGGATATCCTCCACCTACGTACGGATATCCGCCTCCGCCGGCGTACGGTGGCTACCCGCCCCAACCTCATCCAGGATACGGATATCCACCCGTCCAACAACCGGCAAGGAAGAATAAATTCGGGTTGGGATTAGGAGCCGGATTACTAGGCGGTGCCTTGGGGGGTATGCTGATCGGAGATGCAATTTCAGACGCTGCTAATTATGATGCCGGATATGATGCCGGATTTGGGGACGGCGGATTTGGGGACGGTGGATTTGATTTTTAATCGGCGGCTATATGTTTTTACTTTTGCGTCTAAATTCTAGCCATATTCGGAGTAATATGTAATTATTAGTTACGGAGTATTACTATCTGTACATTGTTTTCCAGGGATTGGAATAATCTTAAACTTCGTATTCGATTATGCTTGTATAAACTTAACTAAATCTTCTCAAAAACACATGTCATTCTAAATTCAGTAAAAGTTAAGCGGACATATAATAATGATATAAATTAAATACATGTTGAGAAGGCAAAGAGTTGTAAATAATAATCTGTATTACGTATAATTCACCAATTTGAGATCTGACAATTTTATGTTAGACATTTTTGAATGCAAGAATAACGTTTTACACTTCATAATAGTTTTGACTCATCCGGGAGCTTTACAGTGCAAGGAGTAAAACCTTAAACAAATGACATTGATTATTACTCCGTATTTAAGATAAACAAATGACCATATATATCACATAGACAAATACTGTAATTTCAATTGCAATTTTTTCCCCAAACCATCACCGTTAATTAGTATTGGGTGGCACATTGTTGTGCTAAAGTGATACACCTACCATATAAGTTATTGGGGTAATTTGAGTTTGCACCCTATATTATTGTCTAAATTGGATTTTGCACCCCGTTTATAAAAATCTTTGTTTTTGCACTCCAACCGCATATGAAAAGACAAAAATGTCCTCAATCAGGAATATGTTGAAGGTCCACATAATTGTCAATGAAGGGACATTTTGGTCTTTTCATACAGGGTTGGGGTGCAAAAACAAAGATTTTTATAAACGGGGTGCAAAGTCTAATTTAGATAATAATATGAGGTGCAAACCCAAATTAACCCAAGTTATTATGAGTTGCTTATGAAAGTGTTACTAAGAAATGACACTGTATCCGCGAGTCTCCTTGAATTGACTATATAGTAGAGGCTCCTTGAATTGACTATATAGCAGAGGCTTCTGGAACGACTTACCCGAATATTTATTTGAAAAGATGTAAGTTGAGCTTGAATCACATTCGGATGAAAAGAGAGTGATGTTCCATATCAAGTCATTGCTTGAAACATCTTCGCATATTGAAATTTAGGGGCTGGTTACTTTCAACCTAATCGACTTAATGAGAATAGTTTTTTAATCGTTCAACCATTAAGAGTATGTTTGACACAACCGACTGAAAAAAATACTTTGTTGAGTTTTTTTAAAAAAATGTTAGCTTTTACTGACTAAAAATATTTAAAAAAAATATTTGGTAACTGTTTGATAAAAAGTTGATTGTTTCATTTAGTTATGTTTGTCACACAAGATGTTGGTACTAGTTAATGCTAAAGATGCAAACTTTTCTCATATGATATTTGATCGAGATACACAGATACACTTGCACGTATACAATTGTTACAAGTATCGCTGTAGTAATAAATATCAGTAAATACCGGATCGATCCACATAGTAAATACAACTATAAAGTTCGGAATTTAAGTACAAAGTACATAATTGATATTGAACTGCAAGGATTTTGTTCTTTGGTATTGAATTAAACATGAATGGAAATTATTTAGGCAATTGGTGTTCACCTGATTGCTTTTAAGGGGTTTAAAGCTAGTTCTTTTCGAGTAATTATGATTATGATGTCACCAAAATATTTTCAACTATTGTTAAGGCATTGAGATCGTGGTTTTCATTATATGATACATCACACTCGTATCATACAAGAACCAATATATTTCTATTCTGGGTACTATATATGTTTATTCTTTAGTGTTCATAGTATCGACCTCAACGTTAATTGCAAACAAAAAATAAATTTAACATACTTTTATGTTGTGCACCATAGTCATAAACAATCAAAATGTAAAGGATAAACAACAATTTATTGGTTGAGAATTTTTATCAAATACTCGGTGGGTATAGGGGTTCATCCCTAGCCTTAGCTAAGAATTTAGCCCTTTAAGCTCATGCTAATTACAAAAGAGTATACAAAATTATAGAAATACAATGACATACGAGAAATGTTACCTAGAACTTATTGTAGAAGAGAAAATGACTTCTTCTCCAATTCTTCGAAAGAATGCAAAATGGAAATATTAAAACCAAAATTTAAATTTCAAGAATGGATTGATGATCTTGTGTTGATGATTTGAAAGCTTCATATAGGTAAAAAATGACATCTTTTAGTCTATTCGAAATGGGTCAATGGATTTTCCCCATCAAGAATAGGTTGCACGCTGCATTGTTTGTGCATATTTTGACTAAACCGGCACCGGTTGCGGGTTGATCGGTGCCGGTTTTCTCTCGGCGCCTGATTCTTCTAGTGTTGAAAAAAAATGAAAAGGTAACCGGCGTAGGTTGGGTCATGAGACCGCCGCTTGTTCTCTCTCGGCATTTCGATGTCGGAAAATATGTATGCAACCGACACCAATTCTAAGGCCAGACCGGCGTCGGTTCTCTCCTTTTCGTATATTTTGACTCTTTGCTCCGCTTTGATGCTCATAGTTGACCTCGAAGTGTTGGTTCTTAGTTCCCTCTGAGTGTGTTTGCTCAAATTGAGATTTTACAAGCACGTTTTCTCTTTATATATTTGTACATATAATATAACATATAAGTAACTATTGTGCTTATTAGTATTTCCTCTAACGTATCAAAAAAGAGCTTTTGTTTTCAGAAAAGCTCTTAAAAATTTTCATGCCAAGCATACAACTAGAAGTTTTTAGATACTTTTTAAGTAGTACAAGAGCTAGAAGATAGATAATTATGTCTACAAGATTACACTAACCAGTGTTTACTTATGACTTAGTTGAAAGCATTAATTAAATCATTGAGACAAAAAAAAGGTGTGATAGAGAATAGGGAGAGCAAGGGTTGTGTGGAAGAGGAGAGTTTGAGACCTAGGCCTCTGTCCGGTCACTGTAAGCGGGGACTAGCTTGAGCCCACCTTCATGAACTGGGTGCAAGCCGTTTAATTAATTTTATTCTTTATAATTTTCTCGATTTGTTTCCTATTTGGAGTATATTAGGATTTCCATTATTTTGCTACCGATTTGAAGTTGATTAGGCTTTCCATGATTATGTTTCCTTTTTAGGAATTAGTCGATAAGTATTTAAACCCCTTGTTAGGGTTCATTCTTGCTTTTAGTTAAAAAAAATTGGATTTCAGCTTATTGCCTCTAGGTAACGGAACTTTCCGTTGGTTATTATTGCTTCCGTCCCTTATAACTTTGTCAACTTTCCATTTTTAGATATCCCATTAACTTTGCCGCTTTCCCTTTTAAGCAAAGAATTTGTGGTTCTAGTTAATTCCTTCTCCTCTGCACAAACCTCAAACATACAGCTTTTACTTTATTAATCTCCGTGCCGGTCAAACTTGGCAAAGTTATTAGGGACGGAGGGAGTAATTTTATGTTCTCATCAAAGTGGCTTATTAACCATTAAGCTCGAAAATAGTAGTGCTTCCCATTAAGACGTCTTTTTTTGTTAAACTTTTTATATCAATTGTGGAATAAATTTATGTTAACAAATGAAACTTTTCATTGACGTTATAGCCCAATAATAATAATAAGTAGATTATGTTCATCAATTAAGAGCCTGTTTGGTGACATTGTTTTTTGGTTTATCGGGCTTATCAGTCAACTTTCTCACCAACACACAATTTTTTTCCCGAGCGTTAAATTGTGTAATGATATGAAAAAGTAAGGGAACAGTTACTTTTATGGTTGCATTGGCTGAAGTTACTGTAGATGATCATTTAAGTTTTTTTTTTTTGATATAATTTTTTATTTGTTTTATTATTACAATATATTTTAAATATAATTTATTTATAAATCAGCAAAATCAAGCAATTCAGCCACTTCAGCTAGAACTTCATATATTTCAGCAGAATCAACCGATTAGGCCAATTTCAGTGCTACCAAACGGACTTTAAGAGGCCGTTTGGCAACACTGTTTTTCACCAAACACGTAACCTTTGGTTTCACGCGCTGAATTGTGTAAGAAGCAGAAAAAGTAAGGTTGAAATTACTTTTATGGCTGTATTGGCTGAAGTTACTGTAGATAATCATTTTAGCTATTTTTACATATAATTTTTTCTTTATTTTATTAATAAAATGTATTTTAAAAATCATTTTTTTTACATCAGCAGAATCAGCCAATGCAGCCACTTCAGCCAGAACTTCATAAATTTCAGCAGAATCAGCCAAAACGGCCGATTTTCATGCTATCAAACGGCCTCTAAGACTGTTTATTCAACACACAAAATAAATAATATCATATAAGACGTCTTTTTTTTGTTAAACTTTTAAAATCGATTGTGGGATAAATTTATGTTAATAAATGAAAGTTTTCATCGACGTTATCGCCCAATAATAATAATAAATTGATTATGTTATTCAATTAAGACTGTTTATTCAGCATACAAAATAAACAGTCTCATATACAAATTCCATTTATTTTAAATAGGCATCTTAATCTAGTAAAACTAGAATTTCACCCGTGCGTTGCACGGGATGAGATTTGTAATTACTGATAGTGAAAGATGGATTTATTAAATATTAAAAAATATTGTGAACTACGTAGTATTTTGTAAACAATTTCGAAAATGTATTAATCTTCATGAAATTCAGTTTTGGTAAAACTGAGTCCAAATGGAACCTTATTGTTAAGAGGACATACAATTTTTTCAGGAGTAAAAAGTAGAATGGCATAAAAAATACCCTCTTCTAAAGATCATCTTCAACTCTTGTTAATGATCTCTTCGGTTTAACTTTGAGGGAGGTTGATTATTACAGTTACACATAAATACGTACACCTATTCTCGGTTTAAATTCGCGTCTTAGCTCACGAAAACATATAATGGTTAAAATTATGATCGACCCCTCTGTTATAAAGTAGGATCTTAAACCCCTAACCCAATCACCATAACGCCTATCTTTATGATTTGCCCAATTGATCTTGTTTCTACCCTTGTTAAATCAACATTTGGGATGGATGAGTTTTTTTTTGTGTCGGTTCTGGTCACTGGGATTGTCGATCTTCCATTTATATATAGAAAGGAGCATGAGACCAGAAGCTATAATTCTAGCTCCGAGCGAGTCTCGGTTTAATTTTTGTGTACATTTTTAACTCCAGCCCCTTCTTCAGGTTTTCAATGCACCTCTTTTCACCTGCTTCCCAATGAAAATAATGGGAAAAAAATGGGACCAAACTGAGACTAAACCGATCAATCTCGATCGCTAATTTCGGTCACCAAGGAGCAAGATCCTCAACTAAACCGATTGATTATGATCCCTAATACGATTTTGATTAAAAATTTGAAAGGTTTTAGTCATGCCTAGGATCGGAATCGTGCCCACCACTAATGAACAAAAGTCGTTACTAATTTCACTTTCAATACAAATATGGAGTACTTTTTATCACACTATGTGGTTACGGTTCACGAAGTAAAAATGTACTCCACTACATATTCATTAAACATTCTCATCTACGAAGAACGAAACATTCAATACTCTAAGTAGAATCAAAGTTGATTTTTCAAATAGTGCTTCTAAGATCAATTTAGAACACTTAGGGCCAGTATGGTTGGAGGATTTTGGAGGGGAGGGAAGGGTTCTTGTTTAAATTTAAACTAATTTTTACATTTAGACAAATTAAAATAAAATGAGGACACAATAGTATATAAAAAATACATGGTTTAACTAATTATATATTTATTTGTAGTCAAAAATTAACAAATTCAGATAAATTAATTAAATAAAAAATTAATCCTCCCCTTCCCTCCCCTCCAAAATCCCCCAATCATACAGGGGTTAAAAATATTTTCATACTTTCACAGTTTCACCAAAACACTCTAATATCTAGCTACTTATACTCTATGATGAGAAGAAGCAAGTTTAAAAAGTAGATCTCCAATTCTCCAAACACCCCCCTTCTATCCCTCTTGTTCTGCGATTATACTTTTCCTTATTTAATTATCAAATATACTAATGAATGGCTAAAAAAAATATAAAACTAATGAATTTAATTATTTTTCCTTATTTAATTACCAAGCTATAATATAGTAACAACAATATGAGAATTTTGTTGATTTAGTCCCGTAACTTATAGTTATACCCGATATTGGTCCTGTAACTTTATTAACTTGCAGATTACATCCCGTAACTAATAAGTTGGTGCAATTTTGGTCCTTCTCTGCCGGAACTTACCAATTTCGCCGGAAAAGACACATCATCTTCCACATGGTATATGATGGACAGTGTACCCTGGGGGTAGCTTATCCGAGGGGTTATTATGAGAATAACCTAGAGAGAAGTCAGAGCAAACAAGTAGGAGAGAGATGCGATTGTATTAAGTGAACTCAAGGTGTTCTGGTATTTATAGAGCAAACAAGAGGAATAAGGGCTGCTATTTATAGCAGCAATAAATGCGATGAGAGTACACGTGTCAGTAATTAACGGTCGAGGGGTCACCTCAATCGGGGTGGCACCGGCACTCGCATGTGCACCGCATTAAATGCGGTGGGTGGATGCAACGTCGCATTAAATGCGGTGGTTGGCTGTCTCCAAAGGGAATCTTCAATGATTGAGTCTGTTAACCGAGGGCCCTTCACTCAGCCGCGCGAGGGCTTCGTGTGGCCGAAGTCTCTTTGTAGCTGAGGGCTTGGTTCAGCCGAAGGCTTCTCTGATGCCGAGGGCTCAACTAATGCCGAAGGCTCCTGTTTTATGCCATTTTCTCCCAGTAGCTTCGTGTGCTCAAATATGGTTGTTCTGTGAGTTTTGGAGCCTTCGGCCATATTGACGAAGGCTACCCTGGGCGTTCCGCGGGCCACTTTGAGCTTGGGCCGCTGTATCTTGGGCCTCCTGCGCCTCTTGGGCTTGTTGGGCCTGTGATAGAGTAGTAGGAGTCTGTGGACCGAGGGTTCTTGGGCCATATACTCCATCAGTATATTATTTGGAACTCATTTGCTGACTCAATGTTGGCCCTTAGCTAGAATTAAAAAATTATTTCTTCTTGGTTGCAGCAGGAGCATTTTGAATGAAGTTTAAAGCTTTTTGGATTCATGTTTTAAGAATAAAGAATTTGAAATGTTACATCATCTTCACTTCTCACATCTTTAACATGAGAAAGACCAGGAGCAAAAACACTAGCCCCACAACAACTATGAAGAGCCTTTTATTTTTAGCCTTCAACTTTACAACTTCTTCCTCTTTTAAATTGAGTCTTCTAACCAATCCCGGAATTATCATCGTTCAACGATGGCACATAGGTGGGTCCGCCCATTCAAAAAATCTGCAACCTTCTGTCTGTATCAAAACAAAATGAAGCTTAACTTACTTTTTACTGCTTTGAACACAAAATACATTATCAAATGCCCCCAACAAATAGAAGATGGTAATTTTATTAGCAGAACCTAGCTTAAATTATAAAATACATTTTAATTTTCAAACAAATTTATTATTCAAATGCTATTCTTAAATTTCTAGTTTATTTAGTAAAAAAAGAAGCAAACAATGTAAATTAAAAAGCTGAATTTTTTACTCTGCTTCTAGCGCACACACGAAACCTCCTTCCAGGATCGTTATCAGTCCAAGAAGTTAGAAGAGAAACCTTTTTACCACAATCACACTCCATAAACTTTTCTCTGATCGAGAGCCGTTACTAGCAGATTTGAAGAATAACTCACTCTCTCGACTTAGTTCAGGAGAAATCTGCAGGTAGAGTTATATGTTCTTCCCCCCTTTTGCAGATCCGATAATAGGCTTGGTATGGTTGTGCACGCACTTAGCGAAGAGCTTTCGTACTCTGGTTTTTTAACTCCAGCTAAGGGCCAATATTGAGTCAGCAAATGAGTTCCAAATAATATACCATGTGGCAGGTGATGTGTCTTTTTCCGACGAAATTGATAAGTTCCGGCAGAGAAGGACCAAAATTGCACCAACTTATTAGTTACAGGATGTAAATTGCAAGTTAATAAAGTTACAGGACCAATATCGGATATAGCTATTAGTTTTGGGACTAAATCAACAAATTTCCCACACTCATAATAGGAACAAAAAGCCAACATGAATAAACATGACCACAGAAAGGGGCTAGTAAAAGTTTGAAGAGTGGCGGTGGCCGGGGTAGGTAAGTTTCAGGTTTGAACCAATTGATCTGTTCATCGTAGCTCCTTGCTTTGGAATCTGAACGGCTGATAAGTTTCACTCGGTACAACTCCCTGAGCATCTTGTTCCAATGATATGGGTGTAAATTTAGTCTTCCGATCCCTAAATGCATCGATAAACACAAAATCAGCAGAAAGTGGTATTACTTCCTGTTTAAAGAACCATTACTCCCAAAGAGTGATGACCAACAGAAGCTCAAATGGGTGCTCCTGATGGTTTTTCTTTAAAACTTCAGTTCATTTAATTTAATTAATTGGTGAAACAATAACTCCTACTCCAACGAAGGTGGTTGGTAAAAAGTATACACAAAAACATTCAAATTTAGTGCACCAGGTTGTTGTTTTTATGAAAAGCACATTAGTAGAGCCTAATCAACTGAGGAATAACTTTCAGATGAAGACCCTATTGGATATGCCTCTCAATCAATCTTGTAATTTCTATAAAGTCGTCTTCTTTTATAATGAAGTACCAAGACACCATACTAAATTTTGGTTAAGATTGCACAAAAACACATAACTCAAACGTTTACCACACTTGTACTAAAATTAAAGTCATCAACTTTTACACATATAAAGTCATATTAAACATAAAATTCTATAAAATCATCAACTTTATTGACAAATTGAGCATAAAATAAGATTAGAATTACAAATAACACATATCCAGTGACTGTTTTATAATTAATGTTCTGTAATTATAATGTATTTTGTTTACATAATGTTTTTTTAGTTTCTTTTGAAGTAGTAGTACACTTAACATTCTTCTAAAATAGCATATTTTATTTTAAGCTTTTATCCAATAAATCTTGATAAAATACTGGTTAAGTAAAGTTAAATATGGAGTAAATAATTAACACATAATTCAGTCATCAGGAAAATACAAAAACACGTGATTCTAAAGGAGCAGGGAATGTTTACATGAACTATTATAATGTTTATATTGAATTTAATTGACAAACTCAGATAAAAAGAAGGGTTGTTACAAAATCACATAAGTATTACCAAATTTATTTTAACAAATATGATAATAAAGAACTAAAACTACAAATAGATACTAACAATTCCAAATAAAAAAAATGATAACACATTACTGATATTCAAATAAAATTTGGTAAAATGTTGGTTAAATGACATGCTGGTTAAAAGTCTCTACCTAGTTGATATATTTAACTCACCAATAGCACCGATAGTTAAGAATGCATCTTCCTCCCTGAACATCAAAATGTGTCCAATAGCAAATTCTGCATTGAGATTACAATAACTCCTAAAAAATTGACACTGAAAATCTTAAAAGTAAGTATTTCAAAGAGAGTGGAAGGAGGCAATGTCTGAGTACAAAGAGGCATGAACCTAATTCTGATAGGCAACATCCAATATGTAAATATGAAACTAACTGTGATTGGATAAAGAGTGAATCGAATGAGTGACCTTTAAATACCACGAGTACATTTGAGGGTTCTGATGTGTGCTGCTACCTCATTACAGTTAAAATTCATCTGTTGGGGGTTCTAAGCAGCTAATTCATCTCTCCACCCAGCGCCTTTCTTCTGCTTCTTAATTTTCTCTATATTTTCCTTAATTTCTTCCCCTCGCATTTGAGTTCCAAAAGGATACTAAAAGCATCGGAATAATGACATGTTGCAGAGAGGGCTTTATTCTTATGGAAATATAAGCGTATAGTAGAACTGATTGAAATGAAATGACATGCTACTTTACCTATCATCTTTCAAACATTAGAGAGAAATATGAAGTCTCACTGGAACCAAGTAGTCCATGGGCTGACCTCCAATGTCCAAAAAAAGGTTCCTGGAAAAGGATGCCGAGCTTTTTGAGGAGTGTCAACGTTTACAAATTAAAATGTTCTAGACCTATATATGATAATCAATAACAAATCGAGTACCAAGATCGGTTTTGTTGATATAAGATATGTCCGTCAAAACCAAAATTAAAATGTTGATATGTCCATCAAAACACAAAGACCACCATATCAAGTATATAATGCCTCAAAGCTATCATATACATATTATCATTTTAATCATATGTTTTTTAAACCTGATCGAAGTTTGATTAGAATGGAGCAATGTTGGAATTGTACAATTTTAAATCCTCAATAGTTCATCTACTATCTTATAAAACTAAGATGAGTAAGTTAGTTTTAACTTCACCACTTTACTCGATAAAAATGAATAGAAACAGATCAAACACATATTTAACACACAAAAATTGAAATTACTTCCCAGAATCCCAGTAATGTTTTTTTTGAAAGGATAGCTATGGTTATTCATTATGATCTTTTAAAAGCATATAAAGTAGTTCTGAGCTACGTATAGCAACAAACAATATGAAATGCAAGAAGAGGAACTACATTAAAACTGTTTTCTATATGCAACAAAGAACCACTTTTCTATTTCTCATTTAGAAAACAGAAAGAAGAAATGCAGAAGATCAAAGAACTTAAACTCTTTTTCTTAGGCACTAAGTAATTACTTAGCAAAAAAAGTTAGCATAACACACCTTAAAAAAGTTAACATAACACAATTTGAAACTTTAGATAGAAAATCAAACTTTGGATCTGCTAAATTCAAAGAACTGAGATTAATAAATTCTAAGAAAACTAAAATGGGAATCATAACCTGTTTTTTAAAATCGAAATGGAGAAGTTGATTCTGTGTTTTTCAACTCGAACAGATTCCGATGGGAGAAGTAGAAGAAGATGAGGTCTTGATGAGCAGAAAAAATGAAGACCTTTCAGCGATGATGGGAAGCGAACAACCCTTAAATGGCCATATAAAAAAAAGAAAAAAAATAGTTCCCACACAAATCAACCACCAAAGACAGAAAGAGAAGAGTGCTTAAATGAAAATTAAGACCCTTAGATCAATAAATTCAAAGTAAACTAAAACAGGAATCAAAATCTGGATTTTAAAACTTAAATGAATAGAACAGATCAAGCACCTATTTAACACACACACAAAAAGTTAACATAACACACCATAAAAAACGTTAACGACTAAGGCAATTTGAGACTTTGGAAAGAAAATCAAACTTTGGATCTTCTTGAGGACTTCATGAGAAGGAAAAGTCACCACTAATCATTTTGACGCTTGATTGCATAGCAACCTAATTCAAGGTTTATATGTGATTAAACTTGGAGACAATTGGAAGCAAACTTTGAGTTGATAGTACATGTTAAACCTCTTTAAATGAAGGATCTGTAGATCGAGGTGACCTATATAATTTCACAACAACTAATATCACATTGACTGGCACTGTTTGCTAATAATAACTTCTATGGGAATAGTTCATATATGGTTACGAATCTGTAAATCACACTTAGATTTATCAAATCTATAATCGTAGAGAATCTATAGTTCTTGAAATCGTTAATGCTTTTCATTAAAAGTTAGCGAAATTTCTACAATTGGGCAATATAGAACCCAAATTTGATGTAAGACGTCCCTCTGGTCAGTTCTCGAAAACCCTAAAATGCAATCGGAATAATGGAAATAATAGTTGGAGATTGAAATCGGAAAGAGGATGAAAATACCTGCGATGGAATTTACTCTGTAATCGCGATGGAACTTGGTTGAGATGGTTCCCAGTGAGAGCGAGCGGCGAGGAGTGAAAGATGAATCGTAGCCAGGAGTGAAGTGAGATTTGGAATAGATGAATGAATTTTTTTCGATGAAGGAAAGAAAGAAGAAAGCTACGATGAGGATGCTAAAAGAAATGGAACGGAGTGAGGAAGCGCCGCAGATCTATGAAGTGTGGATCGTGCGGCTATAAATGGTCCTAGAACTTTGAGCGGCAAAATGGCTCTCCCAAAGTAGAGTGATTATGTAGAGTGATTTTGGGTTTCAAATGTCCTAATGATTCAGTAAACAAATGACATTACTTTTTTTTGACATATTCATATTCCGTTAGCCAACTGAGTGATATTAACTCTCTAATTTAAATGATATACGTAGTACTACTTAACACTAAATAGGTAAGTACATGCATCCTTCTATTTGAGTTTCTTTTTACACTTAATATGATTTACTCTTTACTCTTTTTACACTTAATATGATTTACACTTTTTATTTATTTATTTGGGGGTGTTTGGTAATGGTATTTCAATCGAACAATGGTGAGTTGATCACTTTTAGCATTTTCAATAAGTGAAAAAGTTGTTTGGTTAATAGATGTTCGGCTCTAGCGTTTTTTAAAAGAAACGATGAAATGAAAACGCTGCAAATATGAGAGTCTTAAGTTAGCGTTTTGAAACATGTTATTTTCTACTAATTTTATAGTCAAACAATTAAATTACTTCGCTAGTCAAACTCGCTGACTGAATCCAATTGGGATGCCCTAGATCGAAGTAAACATATTCGTAACAGAACCTTCTTCAAAAAGGTCTAAAGGGTAAGCTACATAAGCAATATATTGATCTTTTTCTCCAATAACACGCTTAGGATGTTTTCTTTTGGACTGTTTTCAGTCCCAGACCAGACCAGACCAGACTTAAACAGACCAGACCAGACCAGACCAGACTTAAACAGACCAGACCAGACCAGACTTAAACAGACCAGACCAGACCAGACCAGACTTCCGTAGTTATAAAATACACAGAGACCAGACGTTTACCAGACCAGACCAGACCAGTTCAGACCAGACCAGACCAGCAAATTTCAGTCCAAAAGAAAACATCCTTAATGCGTATTTATCTTAGTATCTATCTTTAGATTTAAGATTTAGATATCTTCACTATGATTAGAATTCACTATTGACAATCCGCTAATATAACCCGCTACCCTTATTTTAGGGTATTTAGTGGAAAGTTTGAGAGGGGGCAAATAGGTATTTGCTGCAGACTACCGACAGCTCAAATACGTTAATTGAAGTAAGCAGATAAACTCAAAACTTTGAAAATTTAAAATCCACAAACCCTAAATACACGCCCGCTCAATCACAACTACTTGCCAAAAATTTGAATTTCCTTAATCTCATCCTCATTCTCGTACCGACTACTCCACTGTCATCTTCTTCCAACTTAGCTTCTTTAATTTCCTTCAGTACCAGAGTTAGCTCGCGCATTTCCGATGGCTACCGCCGATTCCACCGCCTCCGATCCTTCCGCCCCATCGGCTCCTCTTCTAGAGGTATGCAATCGCATCTTCGGTTAGATGTGCACTTGGTTTCGATCTCCAAAGCATAAAATGCGAGCATTTTCCCAACATTCAATTTTTTTCGCGTTTATCTTGAAGTTGTACTAATTTTTTTTTTAAATTGAAAATTCGCCCCCCTACTTTATTGTGAAGTACAATCTGATAGATTCTGGTGTTTTGTGTTTGGTTTAACAGAAGAAAGAGGATGCGGTTCCTGTTAGTACCAAGATTGCTGTAAGTTTCCATACCTGGAGTGGTTGCGCACACAATGTGGCTGGATAACGTGTTTGGGTTTCAAACCTGTTTCGATGGAAATTTGCTTGATTCTTTACTTTTTTATTTCATTGTAGGAATTAAGCGAATCAAGGCAAGAGCTTATCAGTAGAATTCAGAATTTGAAACAGGTAGCCTCTTTACTTGCGTGTGTATGTGTATTTTCGTACAGTCAATGATTTGGTTAAACTTTCTGGACCTAAATGCGACTATTCTTTTTACCCTAGGATTTGCAAAGTTGGAGATCCAAGTTGGACACTCAAGTTAAAGTCTACCGAGATGTAAGCTTCTCAACCAATATATTCATTCAATAATGTGTGTATAAAGTTGTAGGTTATGTATACTTTTCCAGTGACAGTTCTGTGAATTACATCCTCTTGTATTATTATTGGGTATATAATTATGACCAAGGCTTGGATGTTGACATGCTTTTGACATAATATTTTTGCTTGAATGCATATTATTATTGGGTATATTGTAATTATTTGCATCATAAATACTGACTGCTATCATGCTATGGTTTCAAAGTTTTGTCAATTCGTGTAGAAAAATCAATGCTCTGCTTCTTGCTAGCAAAGTAGTTGCTTGTTCTATTTATTTTCTCTTTAAAAGATAAAAGTGAAGAATCAAACATAGCCTTGTCACTATGTGGAATTGGTTACTTAAATAAAATTTGATGTGATGACGTCTATTTTATTCCATTCTGTCATTTATCTTATATATGTTGCCTACAGAGTTTGTTCTTTGAATTTCACAGGAGCTTTCGGATCTTAAAAAATCACTGAATGGGGAGGTGGATCAACTTCGATCTGTAAGGGCTGAATAATTTATTCCCAACTCCCAAGAAGCTTGTATAGTTGTTTATTATATCCGTATCGTGTGTGTCCACTTTTTGTACACTCGTGTGTGTACACATACAACTTCTGACTTTTTTTAAACAAGCTGTTTGTGTACACATGAAAATAGGGGGTGTACACAAAAAGTGTGCAAAAACGTGCATACCTAGTTTTTTTTTTTTTCTATCCCTTAATCCCCAACAGTTTTGCCTATGTACTAATTTCATTCTTTCAACTAGGATTTTCAACTGTTGAAAAGTACCCTTCAGCAGCAGCAGGACGATGTTACTGCCAGCCTAAGAAACCTGGGGGTAAGCTGTCTTATCACTTACTGACTTTGTTTGCACTGGCATCATTTAGTTAGGCTGTCTTTTGTTGGGGGATTTCAGGGAAGGAAAGGGTAGGAGGTGTTATTCATTTTAATACTCCGTAATTTTTTCTTACACGTGTATAGTCAGAAAGAAAGTGAATAAGAAAAGCAAGATAAAGAATTAAAGATACAATATTAAACTGTACTAATAATGCCTCTGCGCAATAGAATGTCTGGGTAACTTGTTTTTTATAGAAGGCAAGCCTTGGCGCACCATTTAAGGTGTTGTTGTGTGACCAAGAGGCCACATATTCTAGTTTTGGAAGCTGGGTCTTGTCAAAATGATAAAGAAAGATTGCCCCCTATACACCCTTGTGGTGGCCATGTTCCAGGCTGCCCTTTTATACTTTCTTTTACGGTATTTATGGTAAGATGCTAATTTTTCATGTACTTTTAAATGATGTTTCAAAAAACTATAAAAACAAGTTAACATGACGCACATAGTTAAATCTAGAAAATAATTTTTGAAAGAGAAATATGATTTCATACTCTTTAAGCTGCTGCCAATATTAGAACGCTGTACAATGACCAAACATCACTCTTTATTTGGAATTATAAGAGTAGATGCTTTCATACTTGATGCTTGAGAGTAAAAGATACAATAAATTAGTAAAAAAAATCCCCCACCCCCCAATCTAGACTTCCCCAATCAAACAAGCCTGTAGTTGACCTCTCGGTAATTCGGTATGCCTTTAGCCATTTTATGCGCCCAATATCTATCAAATTCATGACACAGTTTATTGTGAAATCAATATGGTGCAGCTTCAGGATGTTGATGAAGTCAAAGAAGCTGAAGGCGGTGCAAAAACTGAGAACAATGGAAAGAAGGCCGAGGATCCGTCTGAACAGAACGTTAATGAGACAGCAAAGTAGACGGTGTTATGGTCACTGTTGTGTTTTACACCACTTTTATTCTTCCATATGTATGTATTTATGTATGTCCATTCGAGCTATGGCTTTGTCAACTGAGAATCGTGTATGTGCTCTATTGAAAGTATGTCCACTCAGCATGTTGTAGAGCTTATGTCACGATCCTAAACGGAAAGAATTATTCCTATCGCCTTCTGATAAGCCTATTCTATGATATTATTTGGAAACTATTCCCTGGAATAATTTTTTTATAGTTATATCCAAAGCATCTTTCAACCCATTAGGCAAGAGAGTTGTAACTATCAAGTTTCATGGATATACTCAAGGGCGGGAGGATGGTGATATTCTCTTCGCACTACTTTTAGAAAATGTTTATTCCCCTTTTCATTTGAATTTTAATCAACCAAACACAAAACTTTCCAAATCATTTAACAAAAATTTAGGCGAGATCAAAAGTTACATTTTAATTAAGGACATTATACATCATAAATGTTGAAGAGCGAAGGCTGAAGAGTTTGTCTAGATTATGTAAACACAATCTTTACTTATCTAGTTTGTAACATACAATTTCTTTCTTATTTTGTCGCAAGAAAAAAAATATATATATAAAAAATCAACACAAATATTGGAGTTCACCAATCTTTACTTATCTAATTTTTGTGTTGATGAGCCATCTGAATATTAATTAGACTATGATCTCTTTAATTCGACACATAAATATTACTACCTCCGTCCCTTATTAAACTTCCAAATAGTTTTGGCACAGAGTTTAAGATAGTGGGTATTGTGTGGTGGAGAGTTGTGCAGAGGAGAGAGAAATCTGTAAGAATTGCTGTGAACCACAAATTCTGGCCAAAAAGGGAAAGTGGAAGTTTTAATTGGGACGGACGAAAAAGGAAAGTTGGAAGTTTATTTAGGGACGGAGGGAGTAATAAGAAACTCTCTAAGGGATGTTTGGAACCGATTCTGCTTCCACTTTTTCTTTAAAGTAGAAAGAGAATCAGTTTTCAGAAACTGGTCTCCCTCAGTTTCTAGAAAAACTGATTTTAGGAGTAAAATAAAGCATAAGAATCACTTCTACACTCTTATCCAAACACTCCAACTTTTTCCTCTGCTCCCTGAAAGAGCAGAAACAGTTTTAGAACTAGATCCAAACACCCCCTAAATTCCTCTAATCTCGCTATCCCGATAAAACTATCTATCTTTTTTGTTTGGTTCATTAAGATTATCTCAAATCAAAATTGATAAAATTTATGTGTTTTAAATAATTCTTA